CCCCCCCCAGCTCCTGCCCACACTCGGTGCTTTCCCATCCCAGTGACTCAGCCACATCCCTCGGCACTTCCAGGCAGCTTCCCAGGAACACCCCCCAGCTCCCAGTGACACAGCCCCCAGCAGTGCCGGCCCAAAGTCATATTTCTCCGGGTGGTGTATTTGTTTTTTTTGGGGGGGTCTGTTGAATGGCAAATGAGAAAGGGAAGGGGACTCCTTCCTGTTCTTTCAGAGCCCATCCCTGTGCCCTGCTCAGCTTCAAGGGAATAGCCGGCAAAGCAGCCGCTTTCACCAATAATGGCTTCATTAGATTGAAAGAAGTGGACAGTGACCTCGCTGAAATGGACTTTCTGACCCCTGCTGACCTCTGGCCCCGGCTCTGACAGCTGGTAAATCTTCCCCCTCCCAGCACGGCCGGGGCAAGGGCAGGTAGGGCTCTGCTGGAGCCCAGCGCCGGCACCACAGAGCCCCGAGGAGGCAGCACAGGGCTGGTCCCACTCTGATCCCACTGCCTGAACCGGCAGGATGAGGCTCTAAGGGTGTAAAAAACCCCGGGGGTGTGTCATGGCTTTGGCAGAGGTGGTGTCCTCAACGTGCTGCAGACCCCATTCCTGGGGAGCTGAAGGGTCCTGGGGATGGTGTCATTGCTGTGGCTCCAGTGCCATCTCCCAGCACAGTCACCATTGCCACCTGCCCAGCAGGACGGTGGAAACCAGCCCAAAAGCAGCCCCTGTGTCCCCACTGGGGACCACTGAGCCCTGTCCCTGCCCACCCCACAGACACAGCCCTCTGACCACACACAGACACACACAAACACTCTCAGACCCCCACTGAGCCCTCCTGTGGGCACAGACCCTCTCACCCCCAGCCTCTCCTTCCCCACCAACACAGCCCCAGGTGCTGCCTCAGCACCTGAGCTGCCAGGGGAGAAACTGAGGCACGACAAGGATGGGTGACCAGTGGGTGTCTGTGCAATAGGACCTCACACCAGGCTCTCCATACCTGGCACATGCCCCCGTGGCACAGCCCCGGTGCTGGCAACAAGCCCCTCAAGTCCCAGAACCACCCACCTCCCTCCTCCCTGTCCTTGCAGGTTCACTGCTGACCTTTGGCTACAGAGCAATCAATAATGAAGGCCATGGAGCTCCTCCTCCCCCTCGCCAGCCCCCCACTCACCCCACATCTCTAACAAGCCTGAGCAGGTTTGAGGGATGCTCTGGTACCTCCCAGGGCTAGGGAGATGGGACATTGAGATACCCAGAGACACAGGTGTGCTCCCAAAGATGCCCTATCTAGGAATCTCCTTCCCAACACCCCAAAAATACCCTCCTGGGGCTGCTTTCTGGGGTGTGGGGATGTGCCCCACACCTCTGGGTTTGGGTTCCGGGGTCCACCTGGTGGAGATGGAGTGTGACCACCCCGATGCCCATCAGAAATGGGGCTCTCCAGGGGAGGGAAGGATGAGGAGGGCACACTGAGGGGAGGCTGCCAAGGTGCTGCCCAGTCCCAGCTTCCCTGTGGCTTTGCTGCCTTTGGGAAAAGGCAGGAGGGGGATAAAGGGGAGGAGAGACAGTCCTGGCCACGGGTTGTGCCCAAATTCAGCAGCAACTCCTGACACCTCCAGCTCCCTTCGATACCAGCCCCTGGGCAGCAGCTGATCGATCAGCTGCCAAGAGGGGATTGATCAGGATTCCAGCCCCATACATATTCCTGCTCCCTGATAAAGGGAAATCAATACCTGGAAGAGATGTTCCTGAGAAGCAGCAGCCTCCAGCAGACCTGAGCTCACAAGCCTTCCCTCACCCCCTAAATCTCCCCACCCTGATTCAAGCCTTGATCCCCACAACAGGAAAACTGGGCAGGGGGAGAGAAAATTGCTCTGGGGGGAGCCAGGCAGGGGAGAACATGAGGGACCAGGGCAAAAAGTTGGGCAGAGGAGGCAGAACCTCACCTCCCAAAGCATCTTCCTCCTCTCACTGGTGTTGGTCTGGCAAATGGAGGGTTTCACTCCTTCTTGGGGTGCTAAAGAGCTGCCCCCAGCACATCTGCAGCCCATCACCACCAAGTGCCAGCAGCTGCAGCCAGCACCGCCCCTTCCCCAGTGCTGAGACTGGGAAACTCATCACAGGTGTGGCCAGAGCCACCCCCGTGGGGCGAGGGCACACGACATTCAGCTGGGGAGTGGGGGGGATTGGCCTGCAGGTGTTACAGCTCTGTGTGCCCAAGGGTGCAAACGGGGACAGGGGCTCAACCTCCTCCCCCTCCCCAAATTACAGCCCCGGGGGTGGTTTGGATCTGGGTCAGCTCGGATGGACCTGCTGTGCCTCAGTTTCCCTACCCATAAAACAGGCCTCGTGTTCAGGAGCTTTTGGGTTCTTTGAGACCATCTGGACACCCCCAGGTGCTGGGGGGCTCCCCCCAGCCCCATGTCCCCCCAGGGTGCTGTGGCTGAGCCCGTCCCTGTCCCCACAGCCTGCCCCACACCTCGGCCCTCCCTTTGCACACAGTGACTCAAGGCCCAGGCTTGCCCCAGTGTCCCTCCAGTTCCCCCAGTGCCTGGGGAACTGGTTTGCCCCGGGGAGGACCCTCCCCAGCAGTGACTAAATCCTCCCCGGCAGTGCTGGGGGATGCGGTGCCTCCCGCAGTGCCGCGGTCGGTCTGCTCACCTGGTTTGACACGTACACACGCTTACAACACACTTACACACACATGGACACACGTGGGGACACGTTGCAGCTGGTCCCGGGGCTCCCAGGACCCCCCAGCACTACTATGATGGAGCCCATCCTGTTGGAGGGCTGAGGGGCTGGATCCTCCTCCCTGGGGATGGGGACGGGCAGCCAGATGTTCAGCCCCCCCTGGAGACACTGGGGACCCCTCGGTGTCCCCTCTGTCCCCAGGGCTGTCCTCAGTGGGACGTGGCTCCTCCCTGGGGAGTTCCCCACCGCATCCCACCGGCTGTGACAGGGGGGGACAGGGAAGTCCAGCGGTGCTGGGGGCGGGGGGGCCGAGCCCCGAGGTCCCTG